ATTAGAGCCAGTACAGTGAAGTGAGAGAGGGACCAGGGAGTTGAGGGTGTATGAAAGACGACATTGTATTTACGGACCATGGAATTCAGGCTGGGTAAGCGGGAGATAGGAAATCAAAAGCTGAGAGCCAGTGAAAAGCTGGTAGGAACAATGGATTATAAGTCTCAGAGGAGCTGTTATGAGGTGTTAGAAGGAGCAAGCTAGAAAGAAGTGATAGAGAATGAGATTCACACAGCTGAGACAATGGAGGGCTTGCACCTATTGGTAATAAAAGACCTAGGGCATGGAAGTGAATAGGTAAAGAAGAGTGGAGGACAAAAATCACTGGAGGAAAAGAGTTTGAAGAATGGAGAGATCACAGTGTAATTTCATGTGTGTTGAGATCACCAGGAATTAAGACAGGAAGAATATTGGAGAGAGCGACAGTGAGCCAGCATTTACAGTGAGTGAAAAACGAAAGGGAACGGTGGGGGCTGTGATAGATGACTGCAGTGGTGACCTGTGGTGGGAGTATAACCCAGTGGCACGAGAGCCGAAGCTTCCTTTCAGGAAGGAGGGACAGTCCGGAAGCTGCAGCAAAGAGCCAGGAAGCTTTCTCCCACTTGTGGGAGAAAAAAAGAGCTACAGGGAAACTATCTGAGATTCAAGATTCTCTAGAGCAAATATCTGAAGGAGATGTTAAGGAATTGAGGATTTAGAAAATTTCGACAATGGTAGACCATGAGTTGAAGAGGGCCCAATGGAAGAGTTTTAGGAGGTGAAGAGGGGTGAGAGAGAGGGGCAGGATAGAGTAAGTACAGAACAGAATGTAATCTTAATATATAAAGCACTGTTATAAACTGGTAAAATACTGACAATAGAAATGTGGGCAAAGGACATACACTATTTACAGAAGAAATTACTATAATAGACCAATAAATGTTTATTTTAAAAGTGTATTGCTTTCATAGTCAGAAAAAAAGTTGTGCAAAAAGAATGAAAGGTGTTTTGTTTTGTTTTCTTAAATAAATAGAAACCTGTTAGGAGATGGTAGAGAGAATGTTGATTAGGAATAGTCTGGAAAAGAATTGAGGGGAAAAATGTTTATTTTTGTTTTCTAATTCTCTTTAACTTTCAATTTCATAGATAAAAACAAACCTTGCATTGACCCTTAATGTGAATTCTTTCAGCCAAAATGATCTCCTCAGACCTTACCACTATATCTTGTTCATTTCCTCTTTTGGTTTGGAAAAACCTCACCTTCTCTCCCTTCCTTTCCATGATGCTCATTTCCAGCCACAGTGACCACGTGTTCATTTGACTCAGTCGTGTCAAATCGATATTGAAATTTCCTTCATGCTCTCTTATTTCCAAAAACCAGATTTTAGAGTTGTTGTATTTCCCCATGAGACTTTGAAGCATTGTAGATGCTCAGTTTATATTTTGTTAATAGATTGAAAAAACGTTTTCTTTCTAATCTAGTATTCTCATTTTCAGCTTTATATTCTGTATAATGCTGTACATATATTTGTTTCTAAAACAGCAGTTATAAGAGACCATCATTATTTTCTATAGCTGCAATTTAACGAACATATAATATTTGCTCTGGTTTGGGGGAGACTAGAGTTTCTAGTGGCCTATACTCTCTATGCCTGTACTGTCAGTCAGAATTGTAAACTCTCACCATGTAAACATGTGACAATGAGGAGCCTACTATTTTATTACTGGACAACTCATGCTAAGAAATATTAGGTCAGTGATAATTTCAAATTATCATTTTGAAATAATGCTTTGATCCAGCAGTTCTGCTTCCAAGAATTTATCCTACTGATACATAGAAATATATATGAAATGATTTACATAAGACATTATTCATTGCAGCATTGTTTATAATGATAACTGGTGAGGTATGGTCTAGCTGTCCACCAGTAGGTCACAGGATAATAAATCATGATGCATCTGTGGGGAGGAAAAAGTAACTGCTTTATCTTCTTCTAAGTTCTCAGCTGGGGCCCTTGTAACAAGAGAAAAGCACACAAATTTGTAAGTTTTACGGGACACGGGAAGTTTCATAGGGAAATGAAGACCCAAAGAAGTTAAACCTGAGTAGTTTTGTGCTAGGTTTGATGAAGCCTGGAAAGTCATGGGGAAATTTGATAAGACAAAAGGTATGGGCTAAGTGTAGAAAACTAAGGGAAACTTAGCAAGGCCTGTTATTCAGATTCTTCTCGGTGTCCCTCAGGCTTCAGAGATAAAGATGCTTCTTTCATGCCCTGGCTATAGGGAGGGCACCTCTCACATAAGGGTCTTATGACCTGTTTCAGGGGAAGGTCAGAAAGTCCTTCTTGCACCTGCTGTTTCTCAAATTCCATTTGCTTGAAATAGTCAGTATGCCAAAGGAGCCATATTTTGAGGTAGTGTCTCCTGAACCTGGTCACATCCATATAGTGGAATATTATGTGACCTAAAACAATGTGGAAGCTTTTGGGCATATGGATATGGAAAGATCTCCAAGATGTATTGTTAAATGTGAAAAAAGGGGATAGGGGGAGAAACATGGGAGTGGGCGTGTGTACATGTATTTTATAGACAAAAATCTCTGGAAGGCTGCACAGGAAACTAGTAACTGGATACCTCTGGAGGTGGGAGTATGGTCACTCGGCTGGTGAGGGACGAGGTGGGAGGGTGAATCCACTGTATGTCTATACTTTTTTAAAATTTCATTTTTTTATTGAACTATAGTTGATTTCAGCAAAGTGATTTGGTTATATTTGGTGTGTTTTATATATATATTTTCGATTCTTTTCCATTATAGGTTATTATAAGATATTGAATCTATTTCTCTGTGCTATACTGTAAATCCTTGTTTATCTGTTTTATATATGCTAATGTGTATCTGTTAATCCTATATTCCTGATTTATCTACCTCTCCTTCCTCCCGTCCTTTTATCCCTTTTGGTAACCATAAGTTTGTTTTCTGTGTCTGTGAGTCTGTTTCTGATTTGTAAATAAGTTCATTTGTACTACTTTTTAGATTCCACATATAAGTTATATTTGTCTTTCTCTGTCT